ACTTATAGAGTCAGATGGTGATTATACAATGTATTAATTTTAGTTAGTTGGTTATGTATTTTTTAAATAAAAAAAAATTTTTTGAATTTACTTACTTGTAGCCGGAGTTAGAGGCAGTTGAATACTTATGACCGCTACTGTATATATTAGCTATTTAAATAATAATAAATAAAAATGTTTTATAAATAAATTAATAGTATAAATAAATAAAAATAAAAATAATTTAAATGAATTAGATGAAAAGTTAAAAATTAAAATAATAAAATTTAATGAATTTTAAATAAGAAATCACTATACATAAATTTTATAATAATAATTATTATTATTATACATTTTTTTTCTACTATATTATTATTAAGTCCAATAAAATCCGATTTTAAGATTATTGATCATTTGTAAATTTCAAATAATTATGATGATGCTTATTTTTTATTTTAATATTTAGTTTATACAGAGATGGGTGTTTATTTTGCTAAAGTTATCTTATACTAGTACATAAAATTTTCCTAATATTGAATAGTATCATTATTTTTTCTATATACAATAGTACTAATAGTCTATATATATATATATATATTGTTTTATTTATACCCTTGATCATAAAGGTTATTAACCAATCAAGCTCTAAATAAATATACCAAGGTCGAATTAAAAAGAAAGAAAGAAATAAATATGTATGTGTGTATATATAAAAAAAGAACAAAAAAAAATATTTTTATTAAAACATATCATAAAAAGTCCTTAATTTTTAGAAGAACTAAACTATTTAATTCAATGTCATTGTCTTTCTTTCGATTTAAATGATTTGAGTCTGGCTAATGTGAATAGAATATAACCATACTCGTGACATTAATGAATAGAAAGAAATCATAATCATAAGAATTCTAGAATGAAAAAACGTATTATAAATGCACACTTGAATATATTTTTTTTTTGTTTTAAAACAAAAAAAAAAAGTATGTGCTGAACATAAATTAAATTACTCACCTATCCTTGTATTATTCGGTGTAAAAAAACTTTGTAAGACTAACTCAACGATTCGATCAACGTGACCGCTCGCCAAAACTTGTTTCATATTCTCGGAATCCTTTATAACGTTCCAATGTTTCACAGCAAATTCCTGACCGGCATCTTTTAATCGATCATCATAAAATTTCCAACCCAACATTAAAACTTGATCCCAATTATCATGAGTCATCAAATTAACCATTCTTTTGGCAGCCATTTGACCAAGTTGTTCTAAACTAAGCATATCAGCTTTAGAATAAATATCTCTTAAGAGTTCAAATGTCAATCCCTCTTCAAGTTTTCCGGTGTAAAGATGGTGAACAATACATCGAAACGCGTCAAATGGCATGTCTCTGATGGCGATGGTTTTCATATGATTTTCCATCCATTCACCTCCCAACATTCTTTCAAAGTACATTGATCGTGCTGCGAGAATGACCCTATGAGCTTTCATGCTTGAACCACAATCAAATACGAATTCAACATCACAAAATCTTTCTTCACCGAAATATCTTTCAAAGGGCATAAGTGATATATTACTTACAATGTCCATTGAACTTGAACCCTCCCCAGGTGTTATAGTATCCTCGAAAATTTGAGTTCTGACTAATAAATCTACTTCGGTCAATGTAGTATCATTTGGGAATAATTCTTTAAGAGCGATAATTCTTGCAAATCCATAATCTGCGTGCACCCCATTGAATTCAAATTTCGTCTCCAAAGTATGACGATCTATCACAAGTATTGGTCTCTGTTTCGTGGTTTGGATATTTGAATCCACTCGATAAAGCGCTAGTCGAAATTTCTTGTGCCTTCCTGTTATACTATTTTGTTTCTCATAATGTGTTTGAATTGCTTCAAGATAAAGAGAAATGTAATCATTCGATTTCTTATCTACGCCATTAGGAAACATTTTTAGCCTCCACAAATACCCGGAATTATTGTGTGAGTTATTTTCATGAACGACATTGATGTTGGTCGACTTTCCACTTTGCCCTCTCGGTGACCAAAACCTTTCACTATAGAAAAAACTACCATTTGGGTGTCGAGAAACAAGCTCATTAAAGCAATTTATCTTCCATGTGAAGGCAAAGTGATTTTCGTCCATAACTTTCAAGTACCGAATAATAACTAATCTCGTTTCTAAGAAATAATTTGAAAAACGAAACTTGTAAATCGTGGCTTTATAAATAGGTTTTGAAATTTTTGGAATTTGACAGATTTAGTGTAACTTAACTATGCAAAATCAGGGGATCATATGATGAAATGACAATCCTGATTTTTCAAACGCGTCAATTTTCTTTTTTATAAAATCTTTTCTTCTACAATGCCATTCGATGAATTTGTTTTATGTAGATTAAACATTTTCTGTTTACATCCACCGATTGAATAAATAAATCATTTGGCAATGAAATTTAAGAAAAAATTGATTCAAAGATAAATTTATTCTGAGTATCCCAAAACATGAAAAGTTTTTAAATTACGATTAAAGTCGAGTGGAAATGTTTTTTTTTAAAAATCGCAAAAAAATTTTATTTATATTTGTAAGATTTCCTTTTATAGAAATTAGTCGTACAAGACCGAAAAATTCGAAAAATCAATATCTATTAATATTAAAAAAAAAAAATTTCAAAAATATAAAATATATCTATATATATATGAATAATAATAAAATATATAAATAGATAATTAATAATATGGATAACATCGGTGATTGTTTAATGTCTAATTTTGAATTTTTATCTCTCGCAGCAAATACAAATACACCACCACCTTCTATAAATAAAGAAAAGGAAATAAATATTTATAATTTAGCATTGATAGGGCCTTCGTTACAATACCAAGCCATTTCAACTTCTTTTCTCTGAAATCTATGTTATTAACATTCTTAAATTAGTAAGGAATGACGAGAGAATATTTTAAAACAAAAAAAAATAAAGGTGTAATTTACCCGCATTTTTCATAGAAAGGAACATTCTGTAAAAAAATTTTTTTTTTCATTTTAAAGCATTAGTAAGTGATCTGTTCAAGTGTTCTGTAACATTTGTTTAATTTATACAATTAATTTTTTACCTTTTCAGAACAATCCAAAATGACTAGTAAAAAAAAAAGAAAATTGCAATCACAAGTTAAAAATGCCAGCGTCAAGATAAAAAAAAAGATTAAAAAAAATAAGGATCGAATATTACCTTTATAGCAACCAGTTTTAGCTCCAGTGTATTTGAGAGCTTGAATAATTCTGGATATATATATATATATATATATTTTTAAAAAAGAGTCAATCATATATTTATTAAATCTACCTCATGAATGATAAAAAATCACCTTAAACCAAGTTTTTTGCCTTGTTGATTTTTATCAACAGCAATATCTTCAATGTGTCCAACCTACAAGATAGATGATAAGAGAATATTAGAATAAATTCCTCACAAATTAGGATACTCATGGTAAAATACTGACTAGTCCGGTGTTTCTAATGAACTTTCGTTCAACGAATATTGTTCCAGCCCCAACAATACGATTTTGGGGAGAAACAATCACGAGGGTAAAATATTCATGGTTATGGGCTTTCAAGTAAAAGAACCGTTCTAAATAAAAATGATTTAATAAGTACTTAAACCCTTGAGAAATATTCGCAGAATTCCATAGTTACAAGTAAGCGAACACGTCTGAGCAGTCAATGTACCGAGAAATTGCGCTTTGGTAATGTTTCCTATCACAGTAAGAACAGAAAGTACGTCAAGGAAACCGCGTTCATAGTCGTCACTAGCTAAGGGTCGAATGGTATAGCCCTTAGGTAACGCTGCTTGAACTTCGGGGGAGATGAGCTTTGATGTAAAAAGAAGGTTTTCTTGTGTGGACATGATTTATTAAAGACGACGTTCTGAAAAGCAGCTTTGAGCATGCTTTTAATAAATGGATTATCCAATTAAAATTTCAAGCTGCAACATCAAATTTTTCATGTAACATGTAAAAAGGGGGCGTTCGCAAAACTTCATTCATCAAGAAGTTTGAATTTAATGATAACTTGTTTTATTAAAATGAATTAAGTGATTTCATTGAAAGTTTGCATGTATACATAATATATAAACATAAAAATTACATATATTTAAATAATATAGAAAAAAGATGACGGAATTTTAAATTATTGAAATATTGGAAAAAGGATACTGAAAACAAATGCAATAAGATAAGAAAAGAAAGTAGGGGTTGAAGAAATAGAACCATCTCCTTTGACAGAAACGGGAGGAAGAGCTGAACAATCGTCTGCTTTACTCTATAAAAATTAAAGAAAGGAAGAAAGAAAGAAAGAAAGGATTATTAAATCGATGTCGAAAAAAAAAAAAAAAAAAAAAAATATTACATGATACTCACGAATGATGGTTGATTAATATCAGAACAATTGTTTGAAGAAGAAATTTTAATTGGCTCATTTTTGGCAACATTTCTTAACCAAATACGTTGATAATCAGGTTTAGGTAATTTAGGATTAACTACGTTAATCATGTCTTCGAGCAAGGCATCCCCCATGACAACAGCATTCTCAAACCAGTCTCGCCCATCATTTGGACCTGTCAAACCATCTTCACGATAAATCGCTTGATTTTTAAGAAACTTGTATTGTTGTTGATCAGGGGTCAATTCAAAATTCTTGTAAACATCATCCAAGGTAGGGGCGATGAAAGTTTCATCAATCAAAATATCAACATTCTCAATCACTTTGAGGAAATCGCCTAAAATAGAGTAAGATAAGGTTGTGGAATTGAAATAAATTCCGCCGGCATCTTCTGTCAATTGTTTTTTAAACATGGCATCAGCAATCTTGTATGCGGCCGTATTTTGATTAAATTCTGATGGAGCCTCGTAGGCTACCCAAGCCACCACGGGTTTTTCCGCAAGCGTGTTCTTGACGACCAGATTCTTAAAGCACTCATAATTTGACTTGATCTTTCCGTACACCTCATTAGCTTTTGATTCCGCGTTAAAAAACACGGAATAAAATTTTATCCATTCAACTCGATTTAATACTCCTGGGTCATTTGCTGTCGAGACCGAAACAGACTTTTGATCCGTCGCAGCATCAGTCGCTCCAAATATCAGATCAACCTTTCCTAACGTTATCTCGTTAAGGGTTTCATTGGTGGAGAGGATTGTGATCTCCCCAGTGTCCTTGGCGTATTGTAAACATGGTGAGGAGATTAAATCGGCGGAGCCCAACACTTTAATGACCGAACGAAGTCCGAGCATCTATTTGGAAAACCCGATCAGGGTTAATTACGGATCAAGTATCACGTGCTTAGTGTAACATGATGTCTTACATCGAGAAAAGCGCTGCTGCTGGTGTCGGTCACGGCGACACTATTTACGGAAATGGGAAACGGCTTGACGTTCGCTGGAAGATCATTGATGGTTCCACATTGATAAAGCCCAAATACTTCTTTGGTCTTTGTATTCGTAACGAGCTTATAATGATTGAAATACTCGACGCTAAACAAGGTGGCGGTTTCAACTAAATGCAAATTTAAAATGAATGTGGTAAATAAAAAAAATAAAAAATAAAGGAAAATAAAAAAAGGTAACATTTCAAATAAACGTACCGGTAACTTTATCAGTAAAATAGTCATTATCGGCCTTAAATTCAGTAACACATTGACCCGTGGGCAAATTTTGAGCAGAAACTCCAGGTACCAAGACGGATGATATCAAGAGGAAGAACGCACAAATTGCTGCAACAAAAGATTGATTAAATACCGACATTTCATGTAAAATCAACAGGAAACGTAAAGCGAGATATTTTTCTATATCATTACTTGGAATTTTGGTTTATAAACTCCCATATTTATAACAACAATTTCAATCAAATTAATTTTAATTTATTTTGTACAAATGCAAAAAAAATAATCATAACAAATATTATACATTAAAAAAAATAGGAAGAAAGTGGTGTTTTATTGGAATTTTTTATTATTAAAAGGTTAGAACGTTCTTTTGTACCCTGAATTAACCATTTATAATAAATGATTATTTCCTAAATTATCTGCAATAGTTCATTTTAGAAGTCTCATTGGTTGCAAATTGATATCACTTTAAGCTTCTCGTCCATTTATGTGCCACAAGAAAAACAAAACTTAAGATAGCACTTTACTATATTTGGGAATTTGTCATTGCATAAATTAATTTTGTTAAACCCTTACAAAAAAAAAAAAATGTGACTGAAATATAAGCAATAAACATAAAGAAAATCAATGTAATTTTATTATATTATTAATCCGAGATTAAATGAAATTAAAAAAAAAAAATTTGATTCTGCCCAAAAAAAAATTTTGAATCTTTTCTTTTTAACGCAGTATAACCCTAACATTGGATGTTAAAAAAGAGAATATGTACTTATTTTATTTTTATTGGTGATCAAATATCAGGTTGATCTTCTATAATCTCAAAGCGATCTGAAGAGCAAAAACGGCTTGTGGTCCGAATCTGATAATCTTTGCACCATTTATTTTATATTCTTATTGGTTATATTTGAAATTACTCAAACTTCGGGGAACTTCCGTTAGTTGACATACGGTCAATCTCAAAGGCCCAAAGACTGAAAGGATGTGAACTTGGACTAATTCAGAAACAAGTTGCTGAGGCGTAAAACACCAAATCTTACGTTCAATTTATGGTATTTACTTTAAAGAAAAATTTTGAGAAAAAACAAATACTTGATAAAATAGCACGAAAATTTGGTCTAATAAACATTTATTAGTATAATATACTTAATTCATAATATTCATAATACATTAATTATTAGTACAAGATTTGTAAATACATAAAATTATTTGATACAAAAATTTAAGATATTTCATTTCAACCCTCATCTTCATCCTTAACACGTTCAACTTTTGGTTTAGTAGCAGGATAAATATTATAAATCGTAAGACCTAACATTGTACCAACAAATGCGACTATATGCAAATGATGCAACTATATCAAGAAAAAAAAAGGCGTTTGAAATTTAATTAGAAATTTTTTTTTTTTTAAAAAAAATAGAAATAAATAAGATTAATAAATACCTTCGCTTGGAATAAGAATATAGCAAAAATTAAAGAATAGAAATCACTTGTCAATAAAGAGAGATTAAAGAATGTGGCAGAAGCCATTTGGAACAAAATTGGGGCTAAGGTGTAAAGGCTGAACATTGCGATACTATAAGCAATAATTAATCCGACTATAAAATAATTAAATACATATAAATATGTAAATTTAAATTTAAAATCTTTATAAATTTTGTTCTTGAAATAAATGAATGGACGTACCAATTTTCCCGTCCCAAGCTGAATTGACTAATTCTCCACGTTCCAGAATCGCCCTTTTTTTTTTAAAGATACAAATTAACATTAAAAGACGCGTTAAAAGTCTACATGCAAAAATATGTGTTAATTCCACTTACAATTGTATACCACTAATTATGGTTCCATATATACCCAACTGACCCACGACTTCCCAAAATGGTCGTTGTCTAACCAAGAATTCTTCCGCAACATTGGAAACGGCGTAACAAGTAGCACTTATCAAGCAAAATATGTCTCCCAATATTAAATTGCTGCCTGCGAATGATAAATAAATTTAATGAATTTAATTTAATTATTTCCCTCCTATTACAACCGAGATCTTTTGTTTTAACTTACCCGTATTCATGTCCGTATCTGTCTTGAAATCACCAACGATTAATGCAGCTATGCCACCTAAACAAATTAATACAGCAAGGTACTGACTCCAATGAAATCTAATCTTTAAGAAGATGATTGATAACAAGACTACGCATGGAATCGTCCAAGTGTCAAGTAACATCGTGGAGAGAAGTGAGGTATAACGGTATGCTTTCACGATAAAATAGTTTCCTTCGACGTCAATTAAAGATAATAACGCGTCTAAACGATAAAGAATTCGGCCAAGGTCAATATTCCTGCGGATGCACACAAGATCACATGACAAAACTTACATTTCCACCCTCTTTTTAAAAAGATTTTAATCCAACCATTAAATCCTTTCTTATAAATGGTGTAGGGAGTATAGACAACGGCTAAAATGATATAAGTCAAAAATGTTTGCGTGGTGGGATATTCGGCGTTATGGTTGATAGATAATTCCGTACTGGTAACTATAGTAACTGTAATACAGAATGATAGGAATTGTCCAAGTAATACTATGATGAGAAAATCCTTCGATAAAACATATGAAAATTTTTCTTTAAGAGATTTGGAGGTAGGTTCTACGTTAGATTCATGAACATCCAAAGTTGTTTCTACTTTTTCTGATTCCATCTTTTTTTATTGTGTTAATCGTTAAATAATGAAATTTTTTTTTGAATTTTTATTTTTTTTTTAGTATAAGAAATATTTTTGGGTTGAAGAAAACCTAAAAAAATATTTACAAAAGAAATTAATTCATTTTAAGGAAGATTTTTGCGACACAACGATTATTTTTCGGAATCACCAATTAATTAATTACGTAAAAAAAAGGTTTGTTTTACAATTTTTTTTAATCACGCCATAAAAAGGAATTTTTAAATGTGAAAGTTTTACGCTTAAAAAAACCAAACTTTTTTTGAATTTCACAATAGTAACCATTTTAATAATAGTTGTGGTTAAGAAAAAGGATCTTAGATTATCAAAAGTTTAGATCGGAGATTCGATAGCGATTCCCGTCGGCGTTTAATCTTTTGTCGGGAAATGTTCGGTCCTATTTTTCTTTTATTTATCGATGAATATTTAATTAGTATATATACAGTATATGTATATGTATATGTGTTTGTATAAAAGAACAAAATAAATTAAATTAAAAACGGTTTCTTCATTGATGCTTATTAATTATTGTTCTCCTATTTTAGAAATTGCGACCATCGTGATCATTCGGATGGTTAAGTGCGTGTGACCCTAAACTCGGTTGAATATTGAGCCAATAATCATCTTCGTCGCAATGGAATTTGAAATACCCGTATATTAGTAAATGCAAAGAGAAAAAATGTTGTCGAAACTAAATTGTTTCATAGGCGCGGCAACATCAATCTCAATCATGTTAAAAGAATTAAAAGTATGTAAACTATTGGAAGTAAAAATTCTTTTCTGTTCAGAGATCAAAGTACAAAATAAAATAAGTTACTGGGTTACATTTTATACATTTTTTATTTTTTAAATTTTTTCTCATTCGATTCCCTTCCTAAGAATTCATTATTGACCATTATGCTTTTGCGAACTGAATTTTCAAATTCAACAAACCCTAAAAATATTAATCCCATCACAATGTAGTATCCAAATCTATGATGGCCCCATCATTAGCCTTAAAGTCTTCGAAGGAGAAAAAAGAACTTGTGTAATTTCACGGATATCAATGATTTCACGGCGCAGTCGTGAAATCATGAAATAATCGTTTTTTTATTAACCTTTGACTTTACCTGTAATCTTTAAACCATATTATCCTTTTTATGGTAATTTAATAATAAATGTGATCTGATTTTCCAAATCGCGTAAAAAATTATTTCACTATGCAACTTAGATCCCGATTTGTATTATAACAATGCAAGAAAAATGAATAATTATTTATTTATTTATATCCGATTTATATCCGATACACCACGTGAATTTCTAAATTTGGCCCAAAATGGCAAGTCCGTTTCTACATTTGTAAGAAAAATTCCAAGTTTTAGAAAATATTATCTGATAAGCATAATAAGAAATTCTTAAAACATTCTTTCTCTACAATTTTTATATTCAGAAAGATATTTCCGATAAATTATCGAGAGGTGAACTCAGTCCTGATATAAAATCAGGTTACTACAGTATATGTTTAGAAATATTTTAAGACTCAAGCTTGAATTCATAACAGCGTTGGTAAATGACCCTAACGTGACCTTGAAATGACCTCAAATGACATCAGTTTTTCAATTAAAAAAAAAAAAAAAAGTAGGAAATGACTTTGCAATTTACCATCACTGATTCTTGGAGACATTTATATTTTCATTTCTTCTATTATCCATCTCACTATCCCATTTTCCCTCGTTAATATTTCACCTTGATGAAAAGAATGGATACTAAAATTTCGAATATATGACTCTGTAAATAAATATTTCCGGTAAAGGTTCTTGGAAACATTAAAAATAAATATCAAAAAATTCCACACATTAGAATTTTGCAGTTTATAAAAAAAAAACAATTCCCTTTAGACTAATAAACTTGTTCAAATAATCAAAAAAAAATAATATATATATGAATTTGTAGTATAAAATGTGTTAGTGTTACTGGATTTATTAAGAAAAAAAATCATTTATTTTATATATTTATAAAAGAAAAGACATATAAAAGTAACGATTTTCGGTCAATCATCCAATTTAATAGTATTTCGTTTTATAAAACAACACATTTAGGTCTATAATATAACTTTTTTAAATAGGATTTTTTTTCAAAGTAATTAATTGTCTTTCATGTGTTTCTTTATAAAAAAAATTAACAAATTAACTAATAGGAAAATGAAGAAGGAAATTAAATTACAATTAAAATAAATTTTTTTTTTTTATAAATGCTGATTCTAAATATATTTATGCGCTTCTAAATTAATACAAATAGGTAAGAGTCAAGGCAACTGCAGAGGTAGCTATACCGACAAAGCTTGGCATCAAACTAATAGCATCGCCGGTTTTGTCAGCGTCGGTTGGATTAGTCTTTGGTACATCATTGTTTTTTGTTGCGGGAATTACTGGAGACCCAGTTGGAGCATTTGATTGGGTTGGACTAGCTTGACCAATTTTTGGATATGTACTATAAGTAGGGAAAGAATTGATAGTAGTACCATTGGCTGGACTCTTAGCATTTGGATTTTTTGGATCAAATCCATTGACAGTTCCTTTAACTCCTTCAATAGAAAATGTCCCAGAGTAAGAGATGTAACTTCCAGAGGTGTATTTAATGAAATAGAAATCACCGGGAGGTCCAACAGTTACAGGTACTCTGTAGGAAATCGTTTTAGCAGTTGCAGGAGCTTTACCAATATTAGCAACTAAAACTTGGTTTTCCTCTCCACCAGCCATTAAATCTATAGTTACTTGTCCAATTTTACTTAATGCAGGAGCTTTTCCATCATCGGCCCAAACAACATTTTCTTGCTCACCTCCATTCCAAGTCACAGACTGGAATGGACTATTTGTAGTAATACCGGCTCCAGTCGATGAGACCAAATATAAAGTGACACCCAAGAGAATTGTAGGGAATTTCATTTTTGTGTTTTATTTTTTTTTTTTGTTTTGTTATGTGAAAAGGAAAGAGATTAAAGTTACGAAATGAGAGAGATATAATCTATACTAACTACCCGGGTGATGTGATTTATAGGAATGTAGAGAGAGAAGAAGGAATGAAAATGTGAAAAAGTTTGATACTGACAAAGGAGGAAATTTCAACCTTTTTATACAAGTGATGGGAAGTGGATTTGTATAATAAGGAATATAAGGAAATTTTTTTTTTTTTTTGATTTTCCAAAAATCGAAGCTTTCCCAAATTTGAAAAAAAAAATATGGGATCGACAAAATTACCTAAAATGTTGTTATAACTACTCGGTATTTTAAAATGACTAAAATGAAAATATATCATAGTAAAAAGAATAATCGGCAATCTTATTTAATTTATTTTTCGGAAATAATCGTCCTCGTCTAATTAAATTCATATTGTTACTGACACGTAACTTTGTTTCGCAGAAAAAGGATTATTTTATAAACTTCTTTTCTTTTCTTTACTAAATTGATTAATATGATGATTTTGGTATATTAATTGGTTTCAACTTTTAGTTGATCTTGGATTCTAGTCCAATTAAAAATTCTGACATTTATTACCTCAATATACGAATATCAGATTGTCCTTATCAAAATAATAAATAAAAGTTTCTTTCTGTGGTGAAACATGAAATACGTCGCCAATTCCATTTTTTTTTTTTTTCCTATATCGCATACATTAATTACTATTTTCATAGTTTCTCGTTGATTTGATATGTAAATTGAAAATATAAATTGAAATTGAAATTACACCTATTAATGAATGTTGATCATACGAAAAGACGGTAAAGAACGTAATGCGGTAAGATCATACGGAAAGTAAAGGCTTTGTATCATTTAGGACAAAATATGAAGTTTACACAAAAGAAATCTTTTGATGTTTAAAAGTAGTAGAAATTTAGGAAAATTTGATAATGCGAAGCAGTTCTCATTGGAATTTTTAATTATATAATTCAAATTCAAAAATTCACGAAATATTTCGAAGCTCTTATCACCATTGCTTGTTCTAATTAACTAAAATTTCAAACAACCGTCTATGAAAATACTGTCTTTTTTATAGAAATGCAAATTTAATATATGAACATTTCGTATGAAAACCCAATGGTGACGGTCAGGATTAGGTTGGTTTATTTAAAACTTACAACATTTAATATATCGTCATCTTCTTGACTGTTAGCATTCTGGATTCTGTATATCGTTATGAAATGTCGAATTTCATTGTTATCGGGATATAGATGTCGGTTTCATGTTATCAGGATTTCGGTAAATCATATGATTTGAACATGATATTAATAGCCTCCCATATGTAAAAAAGGGGGGTTTTTTTTTTTTTTTTTAGCTTTCTTAATTGAAAATAAAGTGTTTTTTTTTTTTTTTAAAAAAAAAAACACTCTTTTTATATAATTATTTAATAAAGCAAAAAAATTATTTTATATAAATTCTTTTTGTCTAATAAATTAGATATAAAATTAATTATTATATTATTATATAATATTGTTATTGTTATTAAATAAATAAAAAAATTTTCATTTTATTAAGCTAATAATTATATTATTATATCAGTAAATTGCTATACAGTCAACCCTCTCTAAATGCACCCCTCGGGACCATAGTGAAAATTTTAAAAAATGTGCATTTAAAGAGGGTATGCATTTAAAGAGAAAATTTTTATATGAATTCTATATGCTTGGGACTGAACAAGAGCGTGCATTTAGAGAGAAAATATATAGTGTGTGCATTTAGAGAGGGTTGACTATATATATATATAGAACTTTTTAATGAATCAAATCAAAGTTGAATCATAAAACAAAGTACTTTTTTATTAAATTAAATTAAACTTAAATAAAAATTTGCACTTACATAGGTTAAAATACAAGTTATTTTTTTGGAACTCTAATATATGTATTATTAGAATTTAACTTAATTTGATTATCTTTCTAGTAGATATTAATAACCTATGAACTGATTTGAGTTTCTTCTAATAATTTATATATCAATAACATTTTA